TGAAACGTACAACTTTTGCTCTTGGCATGAAAAAGAACATCGTGCTAAAAATTGTGAAAAATAAACCAACAACCAATAAACAAAACCTTGTACAAAAAGGTAGGCATCCAAAGTTAGATTCTTTTGACATCAGGGTCATCAGAGATGTCATTCGCCGGCTATTTGCTAGAAATGAACACCTGTCCACAAGAAATTTAAAACACATCGTTGCAGAGGATCACGACATTAATGTTTCTAGGTTTATGCTAAGCAAACTACTGCTCAAATTTGGATACAAGTACAAGAAGGTAGCAAACCAGAAACTTGTAATGTGTGAGAGATCTGATATTGTGAAACAACAGGCAAAGGTGAACGTTTAATCGTTCTTCATGCTGGTTCCCACTGTGGATTCCTACCTGGGTGTGATCTGGTATTTCAGTCAAAGAGCACAGATGGTAGGGACTATCATACAGAAATGAACTCAACGGTTTTCACACAGTATGTTGAGGAACAATTGTTGCCAGCTATGCTTTCAAAAGTCTTGTTGTCATGGACAATGCTCCCTATCACAGTGTTCGAGATCCAAACAATAGGTGCCCAACTTCCAATACATTGAAGTCAGATATGCAGCAATGGCTAACAAATAACAATATACAATTTTCAATTAAAGCCACTAAACCACAGTTGTACTCTTTGATTACACCTAACAAACCTCCACCCACATATAACATTGACAACATGCTACGCCAACACGGCCATAAGGTCTTGAGATTACCACCGTACCACTGTGATCTCAACCCAATCGAACTTATCTGGGGAGACCTTTAAAGTACAATGGCCCGGAAAAATCAATCATTCAAGTTGAATGATGTCAAGCACATTGTCAACACTGTTATATGTGACATTGACATTGCACGCTGGCATGCATGTGTTGAACATGTCAAGAAGGTGGGGAAAGAGTACTGGCTCAAAGATGGCTTGAAGGAGCAAACAGTTAATCCAGTTGTCATTCGTCTGGACACTGATGACTCCTCTGTGGAAGAATGGAGTGAACTTGATGAAGTTTAATTCTGTTATTATATTTACAGATAATAATAGTATCCAGCCAGATATGCTCAAAGAAATATAACTTCTTTTAACAATGACAGCACTGACTAATTCCAACAACTAACATGTAACATGAAACACTCATTTCACATAAAATTATCATGAAAATATAAATATTAACTATCTATATGGTTAAAGCTATTAGAAATGCATTGCTTAATTTGGAATGTGAACGACATCAAAACATAACACTTTTGTCTTCATTCTATCTTTTCTTCAATGAGTGTGCATGATTGTGTGTGCTTGTGTCCGAGGGAACGGGGCTTTAACAGTTGTTGAGTTCTAACCATAGGTGGTCCGATTAATGATTTAGTGTAAATATACTTTCTGTGTTCTTTAAATGCATTTCCACTTAGGTACTGCATAAACAAAATATGACATTAACATTACAAATTTAAAGATTTTAACCTACAGAATAATTCTCACTAATGGGTTTTGTGGTTAATTTTGAACAACTCAGAGAAACAAACTCCGTATGATGGTTAACAGTTGGCACCACCTTACCCTATTCACGTGCATAGCTGACCTACATTGACGAACGTTGACCTTTATGACAACAACACTGCCGCTGTTACAGGTCATTGGCTCCCTCCCTCTGCAAGCAGTCTGCGTTCTGCTGTTTATTTTGTTGACAGTTACATAGACAGATTCTTTAATACAAATGCATAAAATCGGTGATTTACAATGTGATTAGGTTGTCTGACAAAACATCCACTTGCACAGTTTGAGATCGATTGGGTCATTGGATGAAGAGATATTTACAAAAAACCGGGTCCACATGCATTTCATGCCAAACTATAGCCACAGACGAAGGGACAACATGATTTTTGATTGACGTGCAGAAATAACTTTATTTTGTGAAAGTGATAAGGTATGTATACATGTCTCAACGGTGTCCCTTTATTATTGTCATGGCAAAAATATGAAAAGTTCATAACCTCTTCAGCCTTGGTTTCAGATTACCAAAGTAAGTCGACACGTGAGTCGACACGAACGGTGACCGCTGTAAGAGTGCTGCTGTCAAATGGTGACCCATTGTTTGGCCTTGAATGACTGTAGACCACTGTTTCAGTATAATATATCATTAATTATTCACTTAACCTGTGTGGTTATTTACTGATTCGTTAGTTAGGCTCGTACATTCCAATTTCCACGTTAATCTTCGCATGCCAACTATGTTTGCTAAGTCCATCAGATAAGAAATATTTTCAAAATATTATTGATGTATCTTTGTCCTTGTAGTAAGTGGGTTTAGTTTTACGCCACACTCAGCAATATTCCAGCTATATGGCGGCGGTCTGTAAATAATCGAGTCTTGACCGGACAATCCTGTAGGGCTGCGCAACATAACCGGTTTACCGGTATTTACCGGTTCAGACATGAAAACGATACGTATTGTGATACGCTGATCGAAAACCGGTATTTTGACATGTATTGTGAAAACTTCGTAACACTCTGAAATCTTCGGTATTTCCTTTTTTCACACCGGAAGTCATGCGTTTGTTGTAAAATGGCGAATGTAATGGTGTGGTGATGATGGTGATGAAGATGGTGATGATTGGGGCAATTGTGGTGGGAATGATCGTTGTGAAAATTGCATATAACTGGATTATTTATTTCGGTTTGAAATTGTGTTCTTAATTCTTGTTCAAACGTTTCGCAATGTTTTGGATCTGACTCATTAATGACCAGTGATCACAGATATGTCCTGTTGCTGTCTAAAATCTCAGGTCTTTTTTTGAGAGTGGTGAAACTTAGTTCAAACCAGTAACCACTGTGTTGATGTTAAATTGTTCTTTTCCTTGTTTCATTCGTGCCAAATATTGTTTACATTTTTATTTTGTCATGATTAAAAGTTTTTTATTAAAGCTTAATAATGTTGTTGTGTTTTTGCTTTAAAAATTAAGCATTAACTCGATTATAAGTAGTTGTTTGTTAAAAAAGATCCTCTTGCAATATATTACAATACATATCGCAATATATGCTTTCGCATCGCAATGTAACGCAATAAGAAAATTCTCTGCAATATCCACCCCTAGTGAACAACAACATGAGCATCGTTCTACACAATTGGGATCCTTGAACACAGGTATGTAAAAGGGTTTAAATATGTCAATGCCATGCCTGAAAGGGTTTCGAATGTCCACGCCCTTGTACTACGGTGTCTGTAAATAATTTATCATGCCATTAACACTGCCTTAACACAGAGCATACTGCAGCTCTACCTATCTAGGATGAACTCATACAATAACAACAGATCAAAACCATCTACTGGGCAGTTGGACAGCAAAATCGACAGATCTTGGTTTTCAGAAACATCCTCGTGTTATGGGCTTTCGGACACGTAAGAACATCCGTTGTCTCGATTATAGCATGAACAATTGTAAAACATGTCATTAACTTATTAAAGAGAACTTTATCGTAGATGTAAGTCATGAATCGGATGATTATTCTCAGTAACTCCCCCTTTTCCACTTGAGAGCTTCAGTCATTATCGTTGCTTTTCACTATTTGAGGATTACTGGCGGAGCACATACCTTGGATGATGGCAGTTAGGAGAGTCTCAAAGGACCAGGGCCTCGTTCCTCAAAGCGATCGTAGCGCTACGACTGTCGTAAGTCTATGCTAAAGTATAGGAGTTACGATCGTCTTGAAACCTTTCGGGTTACGATCGCTTTGAGGAACGGGGCACATGCTTATAGGATTCCAGCTTCTTGCGCGCTTGAGTAACCAGCAACTGTGTGGAGATCATTCTCACTCCGGGTCCCGATCCACAAAACGTTCCTAACGTTACGACCTGTTGTGACTCTTAAGTTTACTACTGGCTTACGAATATCGTAGCGCTACGGACGCTTTGTGGGTCGGGACCCAGATCCACAAAACGTTCGCAGCGCTACGACATTCGTACATCTATGATAAACCATAGAGTTACGACAGGTCGTAAAGTTACGAACGCTTAAGCTTTGTGATCGGGACCATGGATACTTAGCCTGTTTGTACTGCCACTGTAATACCTTCGTAGTGAATTGTATTTATTTGTAAACTTGTTTGGTTTTAGATTACATTTGTTAATTATAACACTTGGCTTTGCTGTTTGTTTCACATGGAGTTCTGTTGTGGACTGATTTCCGGTTAACCTTTAGTTTCAACATGGGAATCAACACGTGTCATATGAAGTGTACCAAAATGTTGGTAAACGTAAATGGGACCCAGATACATGTATGTTATAAATGCTAATTTATTTTTACATCAAAGTATTTTTTCGAAAATTAACGAAATATTTTTTCGAAAAGTTTCACTACACATTTAGGTTTTCGACCAAGGATCAATAGTAGAGGTATAGCGACAATGAGCGTAAAAAAAAATTTGTTTTCCAGGGAAAATATAAGCAAGTGAATGATCCGATTACAAGGAAAATATTTTGACGTATTTTCATACTCTCCCCATATATATCCACACAAAAATCAACTTCTCAGTTTCGGAGAAGAGGTCCGCGAAAATCACGTTTTGACATGTTTTAGCTTGCCTTACATTTGGTGTTGTTTTAGTCTAAAACGTCAAATTGTTATAGTGAACACATGTTGCAAGTCCAGCTGTTTGTATATATGGTCAGCCATGCCGATCTTGTAGTCCCAAGAGGGTACTTAGTAGGACTGGGACGGGTCCAAATTTTCGACCCGGGTACCCCACCCCCAATACCCTACCTTACCCTTACCTTATTATATAAATATACATGTAAAAGAAGCGACTGTAAATTATGTCCATATCTTCAAAGACAATACAACATTTTAATCATGAAAGAATAACATATTACATTATTTAATCTATTAGTCACATGATCATAACGGGTCCGGGTACCGGGTCCAACTCATTACCCACCCGTCCCGGGTAACCTTGTTACCCGTCCCAGCCCTAGTACTTAAGTTTCTTTGTTCTCCTGCTCGCCATTCCTTGTCTACCTCAAACCCTGGAGTCATCAGGCTGGACTCCGCCAAAAAAGTCTCTCACAAGTCTTTCTCTGTCAATACACAAAAACACGAGAAATATGAAGCATAATATCCCCACCGCAACCCATCCCATGACTTCACTGACGTAATCGTTCACAGTGTAACTGCGCATGTTCCGGCGAAAAGCGGAAGTACCAGGAGGGTATAGCCTAAGTTCCTTCTCTATCCTTGCAAGCACAACTTGCAACTGCTCCGTGGATACCTGTGTTGACATCTGTGTTGAGGTGGAGGTCGTCACAGTCGAAGTTGATGTTGTTGTCGTAGATGTTGTGGCAGCATTTGTAGGACATTCCTGGCTGGTTGTCCTTATCGATTCTGTGGTGATCTTTGAATACTTATCCTGCCAATGGGATTCGTTGTAGAGTCCAAGACACGGGTTGTAAGCGGGTGGAATAGTCCTGGCCCAATTCTGTTGGGGAAAATGGATTCGTGAAATACACCTACTGGAATTAACCCCTGTTTTTTTTAAAACTTAGCCATTGAGAACGTCTATTTAACAGTGCCATTATGTGGTACCAATGAATCGTTGATTCGTGGCTGATGTTTTTTTTATTCGGAAATTTAATTGGAAACAATACCATCCTGACAGATAATATTTTATTTAGAATGATTTCACACGAATAATATTTTAGAATGGAATGAATATTAACACATATATATTTCAGGTAAAATGTAGATGTATTTTTTTACAGTTGTTTTCTTGACGGTTATGACAAATATACAGCTTGTCCCGAAGACCAGTTTAATTTCATCAGAGGGGCAGTGGGGTAGCCTAGTGCTTACAGCGTTCGCTCGTCACGCCGAAGACCCGGGTTCGATTCCCCAGATTGGTACAATATGTGAAGTCCATTTCTGGTATCAGAAACAATGCATCAAAGGAAACGTTAAGAAGACATGATCGGGTGTTATGTAGGCATGACATAGAAAAAAAGGCAAAATGATTAGTATATAACCTCCACAACACAAGTTATTTGGGATCGAAAGTATATTCACATTTTCAAAATGAAAATTTTCATGAAACCATAAGTGAGGGCTCATGTGATATAGTGATATGCCAGAAACAATGCATTACCGTATTGATGGGAAGTAGTCTCATTCCAACAGGCATGCAGTAACTTTCTATGTGTCGTCCACTCATTAAATAGGCAGAAAAGGTCGTGGAACCAGTCACCCTGATGACGGTTGTTTCATTAGTCAGTAAGAGATACGCTCCGACAAGACCGGATTCATTGTGGTACAGCCACACCGTCTCCTCTGGCATGGCTTGTCCATTCAGAGTCAAGGTTTCTCGGAGATCAGAAGTGCCCGTGATGACGACATAATTGACGCCATATCTCTCATGGAGAGTCGCAACGGTCTCGGTTATCCACTGTTCTACAGGAATAACCAGCAGCATGCAGGGATCTGTAGGACTCTTCTTGTGGTCCCCGACAACAAACTTCACCAACAATACTGGCTCATCAGCGGACACCGAGAACATTAATTCGGAACTGAGGTTGAATTCAGCAAAGCTGCCTTCATTCTCCAGGAATATTGTATCACTGGGCAAGGTTACCGTGGTGTTGGGTGCGCTGGTGATGATTCTGTAGAAGTCTATGAGAAAGTTTTGACGTCCTGGCGTCACAGGCGTTAGGAACGTCCTCCCCCATGTTTGAACAGAAGGAATCTGTTCTACCAGATGTTCACTGCAACATTTACCCGGATACCCCGTCTTCGAATTTCCACTGTAAAATGCAACAGGCTTGTCTGCGTGTATGTAGGAGCCTGTGAGATCCCGGCTAGTCTTTAGTTGAAAGGTTTCATAACTGTCAAGGGTGACAGCCACGGATCCTTTGATATCCACGAGAACACCGTCAAAATATACGGGGAATTCACTTTCAAGAGAGGGGAGTTCGATGCGGACATTAGTTGGTTCAGAGCCTGATGTCACGGCAAACTGACAACCAAATTTGCATATGCCATATGTCACAGCGTAGTAGTCCATCCCGAGGGAGTTGACCGGAAGGGCAAGGTAACCGTCTGTTGAAGGGTCTTCAATGTTGATTGCAAATACGGAAAAGGGAGCATCTCCAAGCATGTGGATATTCTTTTTTGATTTTCCTGTTCCCTCCGTTACGATGTTATGTGGTAGTGAGATTCTGTATTGACCGTCACTGGGGATTGTCACATTCATATCGGTCACGCCCTCGCCTATGTCCTCTTTGAATGTAACGTTGACGGTGACGTCATGCGGTAACGTCGACGCCAATAATATCTCCTTGCCTAAAGGCTTTCTAATCAGATAGGTATCCAGGAAGGTGACGATAAATTCGTAACCAGAGGAATTTTGTGCACCTGTAAAATAAAACACGCAAGCTTCAAACATGACATTTTGTGTATGGATTTTAATTTCTGGATATTCTTGCAATACTGGAGTTAATACATGACTTACAAGTAGTAAGGACAGATAACACCATATTATGAACAACTCCCTTTATTACAGTGGGAGCAACGTTTCGGTGTAGGTTCTAACACCGTTATCAAGCACTTAGAACCTACTCTGAAACGTCGCTCTCACTGTAATATAGAAGTTCTTCATTCATATAGTGTTATCCTTCTTTACTGCACAAACTTCTAAATGCCTCTGGACCAGACAATCCAGTGATCAACAGCATTAGCATCGATCTGCGCTATTGGGAATCGATGACATGTGTCAACCAAGTCAGCGAGCCTGACCACCCGATCCCGTTAGTTGCCTCTTACGACAAGCATGGGTTGTTGAAGATCAATTCTAACCTGGATCTTCTCGGGTTTATAAAAGAAGTGACTTGCAGAAAGTTATACGAGCTAATAATGCATAATCAATTGTAACTCTGTTATATATTATGCAGAGTTGAAAGTAGGTAGAAATGTTTAATGTATTTCAATTATGCTTCATTTGTACTATAAAAATATTTACATAAGTCAATTCGTATATAGATTTTCTGCCTTTTGACATCAAATACAGCAACATAAGTCGATTAAATAAGCAGAACTCCAGCACTAGCTATGCTAACATGACACGAGGATGCTGTTTTACATTACCCAATATAATCGATAATCATAAAGTCCATTAACAATACATCGTGTGATTATACCGTCAGCTACTAAAAGAAATGTCTGGGCCGATAAATTACAACTGAACTACTTTAATCGTTTTTTTCCTTTACAGCAGAATATCTGCACTTCCACAAAGCAATGAGTGAGTTTTACGCCGCTTTTAGCAATATTCCAGCAACATCACGGCGGAGGACACCAGAAATGGGCTTCACACAGTGTACCCATGTGGGGAATCGAACCCTCCACACAGCAGCCTTAAATCAAAATTAACATATCGATTCCAGTTTTATCAAGATCTGTACGTTTCTGATCAATCCCTTGACCGTTTGACTTGTTTATAAGTCGCCATTGCATAGCAAGAGTACTATTGAACGGACTCCAACAGACACATACATTTTTATTGAAAATATGTTCGAGTGACGGGTGCTACTTGTTGGTTAGTCCGTCATGCTCCGAATCCGTCACTGATTGACATTAAGGGCCTATTCGATTATGTTAAACCGGTTTTGGTTTCTGGAAAACCATGTACTCAAATATGTCGAAACCTAAAACTGGGTTCTGAATCTTCGAAACCATCTCCGAGGCAAGTTTCGCAGTTTCTGTTTTGCGTTCTTTTCACAACGAACATGGCGGAAACGAAAGGAAAGGACAGGTAAACAAACATTCATTGTTCTGAGAACTAGGAAAATATTATTTAAAACCCCAGTCTATTGAACATGACCATTTTATGTAACTTGTATACATATAATTACTTGTAACAGTATAATTACATATACGCAAATATTTACTTCCAAAAGCATCTCATCTCTTTATTATTCTCTGATAAAATGACAAAATATATTACCTTCGGCAATGCTGTCATTCAATTCGTTCCATACATATTTATATAGAAGCCGAGACATTTTGGGGTATCCATTTTGAAACTGGATGGTGAAACCATCCACTCGTTTATACAACTAGAAACTGGTTTCACTTTGAAACCATGTATCCGAAACAAGACGTTAATAACAGGAGAAACCACTTCAGAATTCAAAACCGTTTTTAACACATTTGCTGTCATTAAGGAAGGGTCTGATTTCTCCTGTCAACTAATTTCACAATGTTATGATGCTTTCCACTGTTTGCAATGTCCATACCTTGCCTGTCATTATAATACTATGTATACGTGCCAGAGGCCTATGTACCATAAACCATCTTGAATTCAAAACCAGTTTCGCAATAATCGAACAGGCCCTTATTCTATTTCTTGTCTACTCCTCTCCCCTCGCCCAGCCCAGTCCGGCTTATTTAGCTTTGACGTCGGCATATACATCTCGTGTCCTAAACGCAGTGGCGGATCCAGAGGGGGGTTTCAGGGGGTTCAACCACCCCACCCTATCCCCCTTTGAAAATGACTTAAGATCACATTGAAGATTCCTTTTTTTCGTTCATGGGGGTTCGAACCCCTTCCTTTCAAAATTCCTGGATCCGCCCATGAAACGTGTTCTATGACCGGAAGGTCTGGAGTCATGACTCAAGCGTTGCCCTCGTGAAAGTCTGTCTGTTTGTTGTATAACGCCGCACTCAGCATTATCCCAGCTATATGGTGGCGGTCTGCAAATAACTGAGTCTAAACTAGACAATCCAGTGATCAACAGCATTGCATCAATCTACGCAAACTGGATACAATGACATGTGTCAACCAGGTCAGTGAGCCTGACCATCCTATCCCGTTAGTCGCCTCTTACGAAAAGCATGGGTTACTGAAGATCAATTCTAGCCCGGATCTTCACGGGTCTCGTGAAAGACAAAACATGGTTAACACGGCGCACAAAAGTCACAAACACTTGCACAAGTTTGGTGCCTCGGTATTACTATCCAGTGTCTTCTTTCATGTGCAATACGCAACTGGTTTCTTTGCAGATAGAGTGACATGGTCCAAATGTGTCACGTTCGCTTACGCTAACGTTCGTATGACGTTCTTTAGGACGCCATCCAAAAGTTCAGAGTGAATCTGGACTCTTCTGGAAACATTACATCAGTTTCTACGCTATAAGCACGACTGGAGTCTGAAGTTCATGAAATGCATTTAGAAGTTACACGAACATGAATACATGACAAGTGTCATGGATAACTACAAATCCTGCTCCTGCATCAAGTCAAGCTGAAACGTATAAAGAATAAAAACGAACTTGTTATCAATAAAACGTGTCATGTTTTCAGATTGGCGTCCGGCCAGTTTCCGAACGATTGTAAAATACGAGGTCGCCGAGAATGCATTTCAGCTGCATGAAGGCGATTTCTAATTGTGGGGTAATTTTCTCCGGTAACCTGGCGAAAGTGAAAGAGTGATTTCTTAAAGCCTGGTTCCAGAATAATCGATTCTGGACTTGTGTTGTTGACATTGGGCACCATGTCCGGGGCCGATCATTAACGTTTTGTCTGTAGAAACATATTTCAAAGTCTGCATATCACGGACACACTGAACGTATTGGCTGCATCTCGCCAGTTCTACCAGTTGTAGTTTGTCAACGGCCCTTCATCACGTTGTACACGAATCATTCCCAGTCTCATATTAAATCCCGCATTACAGCAAGAGTAGGGATCTAACGCGTTTCTGTGCATAAGGAATTTCAGCAATATTAATGACATACAGGGATTTAACTACCTTTCACTGAGGTATAAGGTCAATTACGACCCCTTACACTCATGCAACTGTTATAGCGTCTAATTCAGGACAGCCATCGTCCAAATATTTCTATGTAAGACCAAAAACTATGTAGCCAAGCCATCTTAATCCTTATCACTACCACAGTGTACACTTTCTTGTCAGCCACCCTGTACCACTCTGTCACTGTCATTAATTATTGTATATGACATTTATTGCCCTAATTCGTCATCCTCCTTGGCCGTGTCTGCCATCACATCAACTGGTCAAGGAAGTGCTATTTTTCCTCTCTGTGTCCATTGTTGAGTCGTCGCCTGTCCATTGTTGTCAAACACACACAACACACACACACACACACAGAGAGAGAGAGAGAGAGACACAGACACACACACACACACACACACACACACAGAGAGAGAGAGACACACACACACACACACACACACACACACACACATGAGTTACATGGTCTACAGACCGCCTCCGTGGTGTAGTGGTTGGAGCGTCCGCCCGGAGTGCGGAAGGTCGCGGGTTCGATCCCCGACCGTTTCATACCAAAAGACGTTAAAATATGGTATTTGTTGGTCCCTGCCTGGCTTCAGTCTGGGCTAGTACAAGCAGCCGCACATACACATACACACGCATGCACGTCGCATGCACGTTAAACCCAATTCCACCACTACATGGTCTACAACAACTGCGGCCAAACGCTTTCTGCATCCATAGCAATGTCTCGGGTGTGTTAGGTTCCTATTCCGTAGCGTTTTTCCCCCAGCAGCCTCTTCCTTCTGACGATCGATCATAACTTTTCTTTGAGAGGACATCTAGACAAGTTACCCATACAATAGTTTAACGTTTAACTGGCGCAAGGGAGATGCAACGCAACGTGGTTGAAAAACGTACTGAATAATGCATGGACAGGCTGCGATTTATGTTCTGGCATCAGATATGGGATTCCTAGGGGAGGTCCCTGTGTACTGCAAGAGACCAAAGAATTGTCGTTATGCTTGAATATCGTACGTATATTTAATGAGCTTATTTGGAAATGATTTTATGGCATTGATTTTCCAATCATATCTAAACTGACGCACAAGTGAGCGTACAGTGCACACCAGTTGTTAGTGATTATTTTTTAAAAACACGGAAAGGTTTTGAAATATGTTTTGATTGTGACTTACAAGTCATAAACATTGTGCACGTGTTGCCAAAAATACACAGATATGACTTTCCGTATTGTGTGTGGGATATACTGAGTGAAACAAATAAAGGAACACATGAAAATGTCCTTTAATATTTTTCAGTTTCCATCACCAGCTTTGAATAGCGCTATGGGAGGAAATGTGAGAATAAGTAAAGGAACACTGCCATGAAGTTGTGTTCACTTATTTGTTTCCCTCAGTATATTATGCAAATCATGTCTTTTGTTGAATTGTACATGCATTTTATGCGCCATCAGTATTTAACACATCCAGATTGTTAGTGGAACACCTGTAAAAGGCACACATCAAATGGCCATGATTATCAGCAAATGGGCGGGAACGAGTCACTTGTATGTCACAAATGAGGGCTTGGAACAGTCATACTGCCAGAACGTTCGGCTGTATAAGAC